ATGATGTCATCAGTCAACATACATACTATGTCATCAGTCAACATGCATACTATGGTGTCATCAGTTAACATGCATACTATGGTGTCATCAGTCAACATGCATACTATGGTGTCATCAGTCAACATACATACTATGTCATCAGTCAACATGCATACTACGATGTCATCAGTCAACATGTATTACTATGGTGTCATCAATCAACATAATACTATGTCATCAGCCAACATACATACTATGGTGTCATCAGTCAACCTACATACCATGGTGGTCATCAGTCAACATGCATACTACGATGTCATCAGTCAACATACATACTATGTCATCAGTCAACATGCATACTATGGTGTCATCAATCAACATAATACTATGATGTCATGAGTCAACATACATACCATGGTGGTCATCAGTCAACATGCATACTATGGTGTCATTAGTCAACATACATACCATGGTGGTCATCAGTCAACATGCATACTATGGTGTCATCAGTCAACCTACATACCATGGTGGTCATCAGTCAACATACATACTATGGTGTCATCAGTCAACATGTATTACTATGGTGTCATCAGTCAACCTACATACCATGTTGGTCATCAGTCAACATGCATACTATGGTGGTCATCAATCAACATACATACTATGTCATCAGTCAACCTACATAGCATGGTGGTCATCAGTCAACATGCATACTATGGTGTCATCAGTCAACATATATACTATGATGTCATCAGTCAACATGCAAACTACGGTGTCATCAGTCAACATGCATACTATGTCATCAGTCAACATGCATACTATGGTGTCATCAGTCAACATGCATACTATGATGTCATCAGTCAACGTGCAAACTACGGTGTCATCAGTCAACATGCATACTATGATGTCATCAGTCAATATGCATAGTATGGTATCATCTATTGGGTCAACATGCATACTATGGTGTCATCAGTCAACATACATAATATGATGTCATCAGTCAACATGCATACTATGGTGTCATCAGTCAACATACATACTATGATGTCACCAGTCAACGTGCAAACTACGGTGTCATCAGTCAACATGCATACTATGATGTCATCAGTCAACATACATACTATGATGTCACCAGTCAACGTGCAAACTACGGTGTCATCAGTCAACATGCATACTATGATGTCATCAGTCAATATGCATAGTATGCAATCTGATTAAAATCTGATGTAGTGTACGGGCTTTAATTATTTTGGCTATAAACTTATTTTAATTTTATTTTTTATTACTTTTGTTATTAATGCCCTTTTATTTTATTTTATTTTATTTTATTATTTTACTTTGATTTTGATTTTGTGATTTTTTTAATTCCGCCCTACCTACATCTGAGCCGATGCCTATGTAACGAGATTTCAACGAGACCCACTATCGACGATTTTAGTCAACGAATCACATACCTCCTTCTATAGCGCACATGATGAAGTCACCGGGCGGAGTTGGGT